AAAGAGGGACAGATTCCACCTAGGATCAGACTCACAGCAAAGTCATCAAAGTTGTTGGACCAATATTCCAGCTGTTCGTAGGTGCCACACTGCAGAGTGTTGTTATCATATGTTGTATTGGCAGCACTGGAAGAGAGTTACAGGCTGATGTGAGCACAGCTTTCTACATCCTAAAGCTTAAAAAAGAAGATTCTTCTGAGTGACCCACAGAAAATTAAGTATCTTGCATGGGCAGAGAGCAAGTGAAATAGTTTAAAAAGCAGTAGTTAAGACCAGCAAAGTCTCAAGCTACAGAGAATACACAGAAGAAGTAACAGATTAAAAAAGCCTGTGTGATTTAACTTGAAAAGAAGGGTGGCTCCAAGAATAAGAAGGGAAAAAACCCACACCAACCACAAACAACTCAGAGGTACCAAGTTGCAGAAACTTTTGAAAAACAGATTCTTTCTGAGTAATGATATTTAGAATGTTACCTGCTGTTTCCCAAGGGAACAACAGCACCATTGAATAGCATTATGCCAGTCAGAGCAAATGCATAGAAAACCACCTGGCAGGAATATAAGCAAGTGTTAGTTTTTAATATTTCTGTCACTAAGTAAGAAAACAATGCAATTAACACGGAATTCATACAAGTACCACAGTTAAAGGAATTTGGTCAAGAACAACAATGCCTGAAACTATTAAAGAGAAAATATTCCTCAATATCTGCATTACTTTTTTGTTCTTACTTTGAAATAGTCTATTTAATTTTCAGTTGTTAAAATGCATTATATCATTTTACTTTATGATCTGCTCTATTTTTGTGTCTCAGAATGCTGATATTTAACTGTTAATGCTACGCAATAATTACTTAAATCGCCCTGGGGACGGGGAGGTGCCTTTGCCCAGAGCGCCTTTCTCCCGCCCCCTTTTCAGCCCGGGGCTGCTCCTCTTCTTGCTGGCTCTTTCTTGCTATCCTGCAGAATGAGTATTCTTTCTTCTTCAACAGGTTCTATCAAGGAAGGGGGACATATTTAATCCTGGGTATTTACCAGTTATAACTGATACACCAAGATCAAGGTTCAATTTAGGAGCTGGCATCCTCTTATTTTATTTTTTATGCTTCAGCAACATTACTTAAATAAACCAAAAAAACAATACACATATTTACAAGTAATGATCTAAATACCTGGGGAGCTTTCTGCTAGATTCAGTGAAAAAAAGCTTTTACTAAAACTAACTGAAGACAACACAAAGTCATTATTTTATACTACATCAGCAGCTTCATTTATAATATTAGACTCAGCTTTCCCCAAACCAGTTTCTTTATTTCAAAAGGCAACATAAACCTTTTCAGACTGCAACTTAAGGCCCCTCCCTTACAGATAAAACCAGAGATTGGCAATGACAAACACAGATATTCTGGGTAAATGGCACATTAAGTATGCAGACTAAAATAATTCTTTAGACAATACACCAGATCCTTGTTCTCTAACCATTACTTTAAGTTAAGGTATCCTAAAAAAACCCAAACCACCCCACATACAACAACAATAAAAGCCACCCAGGCACTCATTTGCTGTACCAGGACATCACTGCAAAGCCAGAAACTCCAGTGTTGGGAAATGGAGGATTTATGTAATGGACATCACATATGGTGATGCATCCTTCAATCACGTGTTTACAGAGTGTATGATCTGCACAGACACACCTAACACAGGATGGCAGAGGTTTTTTAAAATCATGTCCAAACATGCCATCTCTACACCTTTTCAACTGAAAAAAATAAAACAGTTGCTTTGCTATTTACTGTAACATAAGCAAGCCAGAAGGAAAGAAAACTAAGTTACTTTTAGCATCATATGAATTTTTATTTGAGAGTATCTAAGCTAAGGCAAGCACTCTGAGGAAGCTTTAAATAATCTTTTAAAGCTACTTCTAAAGGAAGCAGATAAATGAAACACTGTGATTGTGTACAGCCCATAACAATAAACAATATTTTGCTGCAGTTTTGCAAGACATGCCCTGGAGAACTGGCTGCTTAAAGTGTTAATGTTAATTGTGACTGTTGTTCAAAGAACTTGTTTACTTGGTTGAATACATACTCTTATTATACTAGTAACTCTAACAAAGAAAATTACAGTCTTGCACCATGACTTACCACAAGAATTCCTGCAAAAGCTCTCAAGTTTTTTACCAGATCCAGCAGTGTAGTAACAACCAAAGCCATGAACTAAAACAAAGAAGAATTTGATATACATGACATTCATCACACTTGCAGTCCATTTCAAATTATTCTACTAAATGGATAAAGAAATACCAATCAGGAAAGGGAGATGCCTCTAAATGCAGGTCCTCTTTTGTACAGTGATATTTCCATGAGGCACTTAAAATATGAAGGAACAATGCTGCAGCCCTTTTCATACACAGACATTATGATAAGGTTTAAATATGCACAGGCACTGTGACCTAAAGAGCTATATGCCTAGTAAGACTAAGAAACGAAAAATAAATAAATCACAAGCACCCCACAGCTTCAGCTTGACTGCTTCATACTTGATCTACATCAGGTCTAGTTTACACTTTCCACTGACATGAACTCTGATTACACTGATGGATATTTATGTCTCGTTGAACTAAGATACAAGTTCTGCACCTGGCATTCATTGGGCTTAGCTTTCTAGCAAGGCTAAATGCAGGATTATAACAAACAAACAACTCCAAGAGACTTCCAACTCAGTTACAGGTATTGTGGTGGAATTACCCACACGGTAAAGCGGAAAGATGGATTCATCCCAAATAACCCTTTACATGACCATCATGTCTGGCTTTCACTAAGACTAAAGAAAATTAGTCTATCAACTCTTAAGTACAAATCCACTCATCTGATTAAGATTGAAGCACTACACAACTTGCACAAATATTTCTGGATGCATTTGACAACTTCAGAACATGAGCATCAATTGCCATGACATCAACAGAACTTTTCTGCCAGCTCAATGGAGAAAACTAGAAGACACTCTGAGTTTGTGACGTGCTCTGCAACAGTCTGGATAGCCTACATGTTATTCTAAAAGCCTTTAATAAAATTTATAATTTGACCAAGGGAATCAGGAGTGTGGAGGGGTAAACAAACACCTTCATATTAGGAATGATCCGCAGGAACCTGAACACAATTAACATGTTCACCAATCGCACCATATCCCACAGGGATAACAAGCCCATGAGCTCAGGTCTCCTAAGAAAGATGGAAGAAAACCACAAATCAGAGAAACAGCCCACGACAGAAAGACACAGTTAAATCTACCAAGTAGTTGTAAGCAAGTAGTTGTAAATTCCCCACAAGTTTTGGTTAATGTCGTCCACGGCACATTAAAAAAATTTGGGGGAAAAAAAATTAAAATATTGTATGTACTCATGTAAACCCTTTTTAAAACCTATGACTGAGTAGAACAGTGCATCCAGTTTGGGAATGCCCAACAGGAGAAAGGGACAAACTGCAGCAAGATCAGCAGAGAACCAACAAGACAGTCAGGGGCTGATGCACGTGCCCTACAAATCTAAGCTGCAGGAACTGGGTTTGTTCAGCCTGGAGAGCACTGCTGCAGGGTCTAGCAACAGCCTTCTGATACTAAGTGGTCCTCAAGAAGACAGAGGCAAGGCTGTTCAGTGGTGCATAGCAGAAGGGCAAGGGATAGCAGGTGCAAGGTGAAAGGGTGGAGCCTCACACTAGACATAAGGAAAAACTGAACAACATAAGGACAATAAGACAGGTTATCCAGAGAGGTTGTACAAGTCTCCATCAGAGGAGGTTTTCAAGACCCAACTGGATTAAAAGCTTTGAGTAACTTGTTCCAGCCTTGCTTTGAGCAGGAAGCTGCACTAGACACCTCCTGAGGTCCCTTCCAGCCTGAGATATCCTACATAAAAATCTGTCATCTACAAAAGGAAGCACATTCGTTAACTCAGAGGGAACCTTAGCTACAGTAAACTCTATTAACTGATGAAGAAGTGATCTATTTAGCCTGGGCTCTTAAATATGTATTTAGTGTTCTTTAAAGTGCATGTTTGTACCAAAATACCCAGGTAAGTTGCCTTCCTTCTGCTATGGTGGTGGGGATGTACAAATGTGGGTCCTTTCAGAAAACAAAGCAAACAAAAAATACTGCCACAGTGAGATGCTTCAGGAACTTGCAAAAGGACGTGCATTAATCCTTGAGGGTGTGCTTGGCTGAAGTCAGGCTTCAAAGAAAGCACTAAGGTAACAGTCTTGCCAACCTTATTCTTTATATGCACAGTCTATGGGTGATATTCATATAGTCCAAATGTCAGCCTGAGCTTTAGCTGACTGTTACATTGGCTTGCTGGGTGTTTCTTTGCTGAAAAGGTGGGCAGGTGGTGGGGGATAAAAAATGCCAGTGAAAACACAGATGCTAAATCATTCTTTGCACCACCAATATATTCAATTCTAAGAACAAAACAAATAATCCAAGTCAACACTACATAGAATAATAGAAACATCTTAGTCCTGTCCTGAAGATGTAACATCTACAGACCAAGCATTTACCAGCAGCATCAGGACTCAGAATGACTCATCTGAGTTATAATCTGCCTGCAGTGACTGACACATATCTAACAAGTATTACTGGTGCTTCAAGATCCTATCTTAGTGCAAACAATCATCTACATTCAAGAATCAAAGGGCAAAAATAACTGATCATATTTACAGGTGATAAGTTAGATGGATAGTTAACACCATTAGATTGTTAGCAACTAATATCCTTTTGGCAACCAGGGCTTTTGAGGGACAGGAGTGCAAGAAGTGTTAAAAAATAAACCTATTTCTAGCTGTAACATCTACCAGGTCTCTTTACAGATACTAGGATAAATGATGGTAACTTCTTGATTTCGAGATAACCGATATCTTTAACAATTAGAGAGAGTCAATGTATTAAGTATGAGCTTGTGTGTCCTGTATCACCCCAGAAAGTAAGATTCAGGAAATCTTTCAGAAGTCCATTGCTTTCCTGTTTTGTTGTGATGACAGTTTTAAAATTTTAAGAGACAAAACAATTATTTTTTATGTTTTTGATAGTGTAAAAATATCAAGATAGTTACCTAAAAACTGCTTGAACTTCAAAAAAATAAAAAAACAACTTCCTGTTATTCCAGTATAGATAGTTTAAATCTATAGGAACTTTTCTACTACATTTTACAGCACAAAACACTGATTTCATTCTACATACAGAGTCAAAGGGGCTTCATCAGCTGTTTAGGAATTAATATAATCAGGCTTAGAACAATCCAATACTGACACATATTAAGTTAGTTGCTGGTTGTGTATGCAGTACTAAACTCCCATTCCTGCACCTTTAGTAAGTGTAGATCTGTGAAGGTATTATTTTAAATCAGATTATAAGTAATAAAAATGCACCCTCCTCAGAAGAGCTAAACAGGTCTCTAAAATTTATGATAAAAAGTACCAATTTTCTTTCACTTACCCATATGGCATGGCTTCTAGTGACTACGAGGGTGGGCAATTCTACTAGGTTAGGTAAATTATAGACTGGGCTGACAATCATAGTGTAATTACATAGGTGTGTGTGGATGTCTGTGTATATTCTTCTGAGCCACCCCAGACACTGAGCAAAGTGCAACAGTTCCAGGAGATTACGTACCAACCAGGATGAGGAAATCCATACACTGCAAAAGTTGCAATCTCCAAAACCTTTAGTTAAGGAAGAACAAAAATAAATAAATAAATGTCAAAAACCTTCTTTTGTAATCCTGAGTTTCAAAAACTACCTAAGTTTCTTGACAGAAAACATTTTAAGCTGTTCATTTGACTCACTTTCAAGCTCTGAAGTTGTCACATTTGACTACATATTCCTCCAAGTAATCCAATGTACACACATCATCCAACAGTGGTAAATGTGAGGATTTACAATGAACTACATTAACCATGAACTTGGCCTCACCTGCCATAAGTGTTTCAGGCTTTTAGCAAATAATAACAAGCTTCTGCCAATTTTTTTTTTGTTAATTAAAAAAGCAAAGCAATGTTTAGTTATGTAACATAATTTGTTATGTGATTGCTCCAAAAGCAAAATGTTTCCAATGAACATTAACAAGGCTGCTTATAAGAAAACTAACCTTTTTTTTAAAAATAGAACCCTACCTCCAGAAAGGAGATCCTAACATTTGCCACCAAAACATTCAAGCCACTGAAAACCACAACACTGGCTCATGCTATTTAACTCAGCTTGTGTGTGTTCGATAAAAAGCAATTCCACCAGCTTTTGCAGTTCCTAATCATCCTAGTCAAAAAATCCAGGAAAACAAAAGTTAACAGAGACTCTTACCAGCAAAATTACAGTCAGAAGTCCATCAAATCTATTGCTTGGATATGATAAGTATCTTTTCAAGCCCATTGCTAAGATTTTCAGCAACATTTCCAGCAGATAGTATAGAATGAAGAAGCAGTTGATAGCCTTCACTCCCCCCCAAAAAAAGAATAATAATTAGAATTATTGACTCTGAAGGGAATAACAATAACTAAGAAAATTGTTGCATCTTACCCCCAGGAAGAAGTCGTCTCTTTCAGAAGGCTTCTTATCTGCATCCATCACCAAAACCACCTTAAACAACAAGAGTTATTTCATCAGTCCCCTGCTTTACTACTCAACAAAAGACATTTTTAAGCACAAGAAAACACAAGAGGTATCCTCTCCTAAGACCTTGCATGGCTAAAGGATGCCAAACATGGACATCTGCTACAAAAAGTGGTTATGAGAACAGAGGCTAAAGAACAAAAACAGAACTGAAGGTTGCAGCAAGGGAAAAAGAAAACAAACACACTTTTACTTACACAGATAGAAACAATGTTTGCAAGAGCTACAACATTTCCCAAGTAGCCAAAGTAGTGATGGCCAAAGGCAAACTGTATTTTCTGCATAAGATGAGACTGGTACTCTGGACTGGGAGGATGCTGAAAAGAACACAAAAAAACCATTGTAATAATGATGCAGGAAAACACACCCAATCTCAGTTTTAACTAACAGACCTTTTCAAAGCAAAACTTTTCAAGGCCACATGCTCATTCTGACATTTCAGTAGAAAGATGCTTTCAAGTTCTTGCTGCTAGCAGCAAAAGACAATTCATTTATGATCAGCAACTGGGTTGGTAATTATGGCACAATACAAGCTAATGGCAAAGAAGAGAGATAATCCAACCCCTTCTTACTCTAATGAATCTTCTTATTAAACACACTGAGACCTCATCTATTTTGTCTGGCCAGGTCACTTAAAGATGCTGACAGAACAAACCACCATGCAATTTGAGTATTTAACACTACCTGGCAAACCCAAACTAATGCAAAATCCCCCCAGAGCAACTTCATTTCTGCCAATCCATGAACAACTTGAAACTCAATGACACTTCATCACACCTCACATTCAACAAGCTGTGGAGTTTGTTTGTATGCTTTATAGCAGGAAACAATCACTTATTTTTGTGCAAGACCAGACTCAATTCATGACATTTTATAAAAGATTGTCAGATACATACTTCCTTAATGGCATCTTTGTCCAGTTCTTCAAAGAGCTTCTGAAACTGGGCAGCTGACAGTTTGTCACAGGAGCACGTTTTGAGTGACTTCACATGAAAAAGAAACATTCAGATCAACAGCTGCAATAGCAAGTGACAAAACTAACCCTGCAAAACAGGAGCTTTCATTACTCTGCACCTCTCCACAGGTGAATGCATTCCTCATCACACCAATCAAAGCAGCAGCAACCTACGGGTGAAATCCTTGCCTAGAGACTGGTTTTGCCCCAAAGACCAAAACAAACAGTGAGCTGGGCCTTCCTTCACACTCTTAAAGAAAGCAGCAAAAAAAAAAAGAAAGCTGAGCTGAAAGCCACTACTCCTAGATAGGTGATCTGATTAAGGAATTTTCAGTTTTCACAGCTGTCCCATCAGAGGGTTTGATAGTTGCCAACACAAAGACTAAGAAAACCCAGTTCTTACTCTTGTGATGGCTTCTTTGCAGCGAGAATCCATTTCAACCTTCTGCACCACTTGTAGTAAGGCCTCAACACTGACATGAGACCTATTTAAAAGAAAACAGGACAGGCCATGAAACAGGCAACTGTCTGGATGTCAAAATAACAGCTTTTTCAAATGCACTCCTGCCTCTTTTTTCTTTGAAAAGCAGTTAAAGTTAGAAGTAGAAATAAAAAGGAAATAGACACCAGAAGAGTCCCAAACAGTGTGCATTAAACATTCAGTTGAAGAAAAAATAAGAGATGAGCAAACTGCCATTTTTCAAGGGATCCTCAGTATATATACTAAACAAGACAACCAAAAATCTGCTCTTTTATCCTATATAATCTACTGTTTAAACACTCTTTACTTACTGTTGTGCATGTGTCTCTTTCAGGGAAGAAAGCACTTCAAAAGCAGCCCGGATTCCCAGTCGCCTCCTGAAGAGGGAGGACTGAACTGATTTCTAGACAGCAGAAGAACCAGAGAAGACAATTTACTTATACTTGTTTAAAGGAAATGGAACTGAATGTTGACAGGTCTAGAAATAAAACCTCGAAATTATTTGACTGGCCCTTAGAGAGGCCCTACAGCAGGCCTTAGAAAAAGCTGTATCTGTCCAACTAAAATCATTTTTCAGGAAAGCAAGACACTGTTTTCTTTCTCTCACCAAAGTCCCAGTCATCAGCCACAAGATCTACTCATCCAGCTACTGAGTTCAACCAGACAGACACTTCTCAGTAAAAGGAATACCACAAAGAGTCATAGGCTGAATTCAGTGAAGCCCATTTCTACCAGAATTACTTAGGGAAGATCAGGACTACTCAGCTCCTCATGCAGTGCTATTTCCTATAGTCAGACAATATACTGATCCCCTGGCATGCACCCCAGATCTGTGATGAGAGATCAGAACAGGAGACATCCCTAGGCCAACTCACTTCAAGAACTTCTTGTACAAGTAGGAAGGAAGCAAGCAAACATGTTTCTGGAGTTCCATTAAACATCTAGGTTTATTTTTAATTCTGGATTGCATAGACACGTGCCCTTTCCTGAGACAATGGCAACAACAAATCTTAGATATTCACAAAAACTATTGTGTAAAGAGAAGAGTTAGACAGCTTGTCTGGCTTTAGCTTCTTACCAAAAATAAGAAAGTCATAGCCACAGTTTTTCCTGCTCCATTTTTTTCATAGTAGTCACTTTTAAACTCAGCTACTTCATGAGGACTTAGATTACAGTGTTCTCACACGGGACAGAGCAAAGTGGAAGCAAGAGGGAAACTGAGCAAGAGGAAAAGTAAACAAGAACTCCTCTTTGCACATATTACAATTAAGCATCTCCTTCCCACAAGAGGGTGGGAGCCATTCCTCCTCTGTAATACTGCCTAAGGCTTACTATCCAAAAAACTTTCTGGAGCTCTACTAGACCAACCATTATTTTTCACTGTTCCCCTCAAGCCCTCAACTCCACTTCTCTGAACAGCAGGATGAACTCCTCAACTCCACTTCTCTGAACAGCAGGATGACAGCAGGATAAGACTATGCAAAACAAGGGAAAGGAACTATAAGAGTATATGTAAGTAAAGGGGGAAGGAAGTCATAAAGTACCTATAAGTGTATATGTAAGTAAGGGAGAATCACACCTGAAGTCCAAGTTGCCAAGTTTCCCCTGCCACCACCACCAATCCCCAAGAAAACAGTGGGCAGGAGAAGAGACCAGTTGGAATATACACAGTTGGGAACCCCTGCTCATTCCAAGCTACAGAAGCTGTCAGACTCAAGTGCTTTTGCATTTTGCACTACCCTGACTCAGCTTTACCAAAAACATTGCTGTTGAGCTGTGAAGTTCTATGAAGTATGCAAGAAAAAAGTAAAAACCCAGGTGGAAGTGAAACTGTTGAGGAACAAACTCAAGACTTGAGAAAAAAATATTCACCATGAAAGTTACAAAGCTCAAAGAAAAACCTCAAACAGTTTGAAGATCACCTCAGGGTGAACAGCCTGTTCTGAAGAGCAAGAGACTGACAGTTTCCTTTTTGACTGATGACTGCCTGAGCAAAGATTCAGTTGTGTGCCATCAGTGTGATAACCATATTAATACTTAGCAGTTAATACACATAGTAGCTTAGTAGAATTAAGACAGTGGAAGGCTAAGTAACTGTGGTGCACCTTTGATGTTCTATACTCATTGCTGCAGATAAACACAGTTCTGGAAATCTCCAGCTACACAAATTTAAGCTCTGGGAAGAGGTGTATTTTATTGGAAGTAACTCTGATGATCTTTCATTTGAATTACATTGTCCCTGCTTTCTGAAATACTTTTTACAGCTCATTACAATTCCTCACAGAGTGTTCAAAAGCACTCTCTCATACAGTAAACAAAAGCACTTAAACTCTTTCCTGCTAAGGAAATCCAGACTGAACTCCTAGTTGGAGACTAAAAAACTGACGTGGTTAATGCAGCAAAGCATATTGCATAGTTTTTTTTAATAAAGGAGAAAGAACCTTTAGTGCTGAGTTTAATTGTCACCACAGATTTGCATGTTGTTCAATGTACACTTCCTTTGTCAGCTTTTACTTCTCTCATATAGATACCCCAGCTAAGAGGTCCTTAAACTACACATCAGGTTCACATTCCACAAAATGGAGAGAATCACATATAGTCCAGAAGCACATTGAAGTATTACACAGATGACTGGCATTGCATGGAGATCAAGCACAGGTTCTTCTTAAGACTGAATATTACCAAGAGTAACTACTGTACCTACTGGCAGCTGCTTCTGGTACAAGCCAATCACTAGACTCAATTCCCTCCTTTACAAGGTCACAGACTGCCCTCCTAACCACTCTAACATCACATCCAGCCACCATGGGAAGGATTAAGTACAAAAATACCAAACATGGTAAACCTTTAGTATCTCAGAACTGAATCTACAACCAGGATGGGTATAGTGCTTTAAAACACAGCTGAAAGTTTTCATACTCAGGGCTTCACAGTTTCAAGGTTATGGCAGAACACAGAAATTAGGAATGCTCTACTCACCAGAAGGTATCCTCGAAACTGATTGTATATTATTGCTGTAAGCAAGTTCATCAGAAACAAGTTGCCTGTTGGAGCAAAACAGGCAGTGAGAATTATTGAAATACATTTCTGTCTCCCAAATAAGTTTCCATGTATATAGCACATCAGATGTAGAATTTCAAGAAGGATTACTTTTCTCATGTTTGATTTCCAAAATGCTTTAAATGGGTAAATATACTGTAGTGTATCCATTCCCCTATGATATGTTACTGAAAAAATAAACCATAATTGCCTTCCATGAACATTATTTTGCAAGATATTACACAGTAATTGGAAGAAATGAAAAAAAGAGAAATTTATTGTTAAATTTTCTTAGAAAAATAAAACATACTGTAGCAGGTATGCACAAGTGTCAAAGTTAAAGTGCATTTAAATTACTGAAGACAAGAAGCAACTTACCTAATACAGTGAAGAGTATGAAGAAGATTGAATATGCTCGATTCTTCGAATATGCAGGAATCATCACTGTGTCAGATTTAACAAAGAAGGAAATAAGAATTCAATGCTTAAGCTGAAAACTGGAGACCTCTATCAATTTTTGGCAATTGGTGAGAGCTGTTGGACAGCTCCACTTCAGAGATACATACATAATTACACCAAAGGAAAGACAAGAATCAAGTTACTAAAGGCAAAAAAAAATTATCTTTATTTATCCTTCCTCTGCCTCTACTAAGAGCTATCAGCTCAAAGTGGCTATAGTGGTATGAAGATAATCTTACTTCCTTATTTCTTGCAAGTGAGAGAAGTTATTTCTGAAAGATTGCTCACCATCAGGATTATTTGCAGTAGTTAGCAAGACCAGCAGTGATGTCAATGAATCTGGCAAATTCCGGAAATATCTCACCCACTCCTTATCCTGCTGCCCATCCTAGTCAGAGAGATGTTCATTGTTAGAGAAACACTGAAGAACCACTAAGAATGTCTTACCAGGGAAGGGGGGAGGGGGGGGTGGAAGAAGAAAAAAATTACATAAAAATCTGTCAATACACAATTTATTTCACAATTAATTCTACAACAGGAAAATTGCATAAGACAAGCATAAAAATTAGGACAATACAATGCAATTACTTCACTCATTAATGGCTGTTACAAAGCAAGAACTGCAAGCTAAGGCAGACACAGAAGGCTCAGTATACAAGTTATTTCTGATTAGCACCTCAGACCCAGGAAGAAAAAAAGACATCATAAACATACAATATAGAAACCTGCAGCCACCTCTGATTAAAAAGCAATACCACTTAGCCTGCAAGAGATACCAGTGTAACAGAACTAGAAGGATGCCATAAACATGATTTAAAAAAATAATAATAAAATAAAAATCATGAACAGACTAATACCAGCTTCAGTCTCTACTTGCATTACAAAAATTAGTGTAGAGTACAAGCTACTTTTTTAAGTTATTCCAGCTGCACCAGGCTGCACCTCAGCATAGATGGAAACTTAATCACCCTGAATTGCATACTCTAGGACTACACTTCAGGACTTGTCCAAAAGTATAATACAATTTGAAGGCAATATTAAAATAAATCTTGTCCATACTGAAGAAGAGAAACAAAACAGCTTCCTCAGTAATGAAGAGTCACCTCGAATAACTGCATTAAGATACAGGAAGTTTAGGAGAGAGAGAACATACCAAGATCAGCAGAACATAAATGTGATTTTAACCACAAGTTTTCAAATTTGCTTTTTGGAAGCAGGAAAAGAAAAAAACAGAAGAAACTAAACTTAGCAAAGAGCTGGATAAAGAAAAGAGAAAAGAAATTAGTGATAATATAAACCGAAAAGTGACAAGATTAAGAGCTTTGGACACAGAGCAGCATGGAAGGCTTCAATAAAAGCAAAGAATGTAACTCAAAAGATCAGACTGAAGAATTGTATAAGGAAGCCTCTTGCGTAAACACAATTCACATTTCTCACCTGTGATACTGGCAGCAATACTAGTAACATGCAAGACCATAAATAAGATGTCAACCACATTTTAGAATGGAACCATCTAACTTGGCTCTAAGCAGCAGAGCTAAACTAGTAAAATAATATGCCACGGCTTCCAGCAAGAGTGGAAGATTTCACTTGTGGAGAAGGAAGAAGCATTATCATTTAAGAAACAAAATCAGGCTGGAAAAAAATCTTTACTACAGACTGAAGAGATTCCAGTGCTGTTCTGAGAGGCCTTCTAATGCAGACTCACAGAAAAACAGCACCATACATGGACACTATGTGCATGTTAAACCTCTAAATAGACTTTAAATTCATCCCAGTAAGTCTGACAAGGCAACATGACCTTCTCAGAGAAAATAAATGTCACCAGTTCAATGATAAACCTAGACATGTAGCAGCTATGTGAGCAAAGAAAACAAAACCACCAAGGTGGACCAAAGCATAAATAACAAGGAGTTACCTTTGTTCGAGCAAACAGCAGCATGGCAAACATGGTGAAGAGAGACAGGTGAACAGCCAGAAGCAGAACAACACTGTTGGAAAGAAAACATATCACATGCATGGATATCAACTTTATCTTAGTCTTAATATCCTTTGCTAGAAATGCAAAAAAGATACCATTTAAAGAAAACTGGGGTTACTTCCAAGGTCTATGGAGTTAATAGGAGATGATCTATATTTTGACTCACAATAGGAATCACACTTGTTCAGCAGCACTGAGCACAAGCATAGGCAGTTGTCAAGTCCATGAGATTAAAACCTTATTTTTCTAAACTTGTTTTTCTAAAGTTGGGACCATATCCATACCCTCCAATCAAAATACAACATCTTGCCTTGCACACACCCTTGATTGTACTGGGACTTGCTAGTTAAAAACTAGCAGGCAAGGGCAGTGAGTTCTAGAAGCTGTACATACACAGAAACCCTGTGAAAGGAAGGGATCTCTTTCAAAAAGCATCATGCTCTCTGGTTTCAGTTTCACCAGTGGGGTTTCCAGTTCAACATTTCTAATGACAGTAAAATTTAGCACATACATGGCTGCAACCATTTAGAAATGAAAAAGCTGAAGGAAAGCACTCTGAAGATGTAAAGAAAGAGCTATCTTCTTGTGTGGCACTCATGACTAGAAGACAAGTTCATGTGTGTCTACCCACACTTCTGAGAGACGACCTTGGAGAAACACATCATAGACCTGTGCCAAAATGATGCCTTTGCTCTTCCCTTACATGAAGGCTGTATGTAACATACAGAATAAAAAAAAAAACCCACACAACTAGCATAAAAAAAAACCTTATCTGCCACATGCAGAGTCACATTACATGCATTCTGAAGAAATTCTACAGACCAAAGGAAACGAAAAGTTACCACAACCTCCATCCTGACATCCCTCTGACTACTACCCACTACTGATCTTTCAGGTGGGTAGTGAGGAAACTGTGGATAAGGAACTGGCTAGATGGTCACATCCAGAGGGTAGTGGTCAAGGTCTCTAAGTCCAGATGGAAAACAGTGACAAGTGGTGTCCCTCTGGGGCCAGTGCTGTTTATTATCTTCATTAACGATACTGAGAGTGGCACTGAGAGCACCCTCAGCAAGTTTGCTGATGACCCCAAGCTGGGTGGTATGGTCAATATGCCAGAGGGACGGGCCTGGACAAGCTGGAGAAGTGGGCCCAGGTGAACCTCATGAGGTTCAACAAGGCCAAGTGCAGGGTCCTGCACCAGGGCTGAGGTAACCCAAGATATGAATACAGGCTGGGAGAGGTCACACTTGAGGGCAGCCCTGTGGAAAAGGACCTGGGGGCCCCAGAGGATCAAAAGCTGGGCATGAGTCACCAATGTGCGGTTGCAGCAGAGAAGGCCAACAACATCCTGGGCTGTATCAGAAGAAATATGGCCAGTATATCGAGAGAGGTGATTCTGCCCCTCTACTCTGCCCTGGTAAGAGCTCACCTAAAATACTACATCCAGCTGTGGTGCCCCCAGCACAAGAAAGATGTGGACCTGTTAGAACGTGTCCAGAGAAGGGCCATGAAAATGACTCGAGGGCTGGAGCACTTCTCTGATGAGGACAGGCTGAGGGAGTTGGGGTTGTTCTCACCAATCACTTCCCTAGGACCATCAAGAAAGAAGGAAGCTCCTCAGATGTCACACACCAGACAACTAAGGGTAACCAACCATGTGCTTGCTGTGAAAGGTTGTTTTCTACGCTCTTGCCTACCTTGCCATTTCAGGCAATGTGCTGTTGATACTTTTTAATGTTTTCTTCATCATAGAAGAATTCTGAAGGAGAAAGAAAGGCCGAAGAATTCTTCTTATTCTCACTTCCTGCAAAAAACAAGATGACAGATCAGATACTGAGTTCCCCTAAGACTAATACCACAAATATTTGTAATACGAGTTTGTCAAAAAACCCTGATACACATATCAACAGAGTCAACAGTGTTAACATAAAAAAGTTGTGCTCAGAAGCTAAATCTGCCTCACTGGAGTCACAAAGGATGCAAAAGAAATGTCATACATATGGGTGCCTTGTTAAAAGAATGAGAGGTTGCTTTAAAAATACACATTGACATTTCAATAACCTCATCAGGACACTAATTGTAGACAATCTAACTTTGCTGCTGGGTAGACATAACAAGTAAGTCAAGAGAAGGCATTTTCATATCCTCTGCCAAGGTCCATTTCAAGAAAGGAATTAATAACAAGATACTTTCAGTAAAAAAAAAATAAAAATACATATTTTGAAAATAAGTGTTTGATTTCACTTTTCAGTCTTTTTATAATTAAAGGGGCTGCTAATTACTCAGCATTTTCTGCCTCTGACACCACTCAAGCAGGTGATTTTCTTAATTTTCCTTAACATATACTACAGCAATTAAGCTGTTTGTTGCTTGCATTTAAGACACTTGCCAGACTAAGTTATTTCTGTGAATTCTCAGCTACTTCAAGTTCTTCAGCATCCTGCATTTTATGACGAGTCTTCTCAGGGCCACACATAACAGCAAAAAAAATCCACTTTCTTCCTTGCTATTCTCCTATTCATACATCCCAGCTGTTAAACAGCTCCTTCTCCCACTGCTTTGTATTGGAAGCTCTTATTCAAACCACTTGCCCATTTTCACACCTAAAGATTTTACAATCACTTCTTTCCAAGACTCACTCACCATGTTGCAAGTACAATCTTCAACCCAGCTAATTAACTTCTTTCAGCCTCATTATATTTATTTGTCTTGAATACAAAAAGGACATAAGTACTTTTCTTAGAGCTGGATGCTTTTAAGCTAAAATAACATGCTCTTTGAAGGTTTCAAAATCACCTTTTTGATACTACATCACATCCTGGTCAACAGTCACCAGTGGTCAACTATGACCACAGAAGCAGGAACAACTAAACAGTGTTTATAGTAGTAACTATAAATTACTAGTAGTAATAGTAGTAACTGCATCCAATCCAATCCTGACTAATATAGACAATCATTTGAAATTGGTTTGAAAGTCACCTGAAGGCAACAGGCTTTGACACATGAACTTACACAACAAGCAAAAGTCAAGATTTCTGCCTCATTCGCTTTCTGGCACTTTTACCACATTAGTATTTTCTTGATGAAGACTCTAAATGAACAACAACTAATTTCATGCAGATTCATGTCACAGCAGAGAAAACCAATTGGTAGATTGCATTATTGCCTAAGGGGGGACACTTCCAGCTTCACAAAACTCACATTGCTCTCAGGACACAATTGTTTTGAACACAACACAGCAGTTGTTAAATGATACAATTACCTATAACCTAAATGATACAATTACTTTTAACTTAGACATCACTACATAAGACTCTGCTATTGGATCAGGTTAAGAACATAGTTCTCCAGCTGTATGATAAAATTGCTGCTGTGCAACCAGAATTTTCTCTACACTCTTAGAATGTTGACAGACTATAACCACAAAGACTGAATTAATTTTACTGATCCATTCACATCTTATATTAAGAATCAAACAGAACCCCTTGAGAGGCTGTATTACTCCAAACATTTTATGTGTTTCAATGTATTATCCAGCTATCCAAGACCAAAAATGAACCATCTCAGCCTCCTCCCTTAATTCTCCAATATACCACATGCACCCTGCTGACTCCTCCTTTGCAGGTTTTTCTCTGCCACCCTCCACAGCCAGTCTGCTGTTTCTGCAGAAAGCAGTTCTTACCTCCATGCAGAAAAAACTCAGTGATACAATCCAATCAGCAAGGGAAACTATTAATGTCAGTATATAAGCCATTAGCCATTTATTTTTCCAAAACTCTTCCCATCCAATTAAGTAACTCTGGAGAGGGAAAAACAAGCAACTTATTTTAATAATAAATTCCAATACCCTAATAAGTCAGCATCAATTGTTTTCCACCAATGGTTTATAATTTTACATCAGTGCTCATAGAGATCCCTGAAATCCAGACAAAAAATACACCCATCAGATAATTTTGCTACAAGACTTAAATAATGATCAGTAAAAGTGAGAGGTGCACACAGACCATGCAAGATAAATACTTTGAATGCCAGAAAAATGTCTCTTTAATAAGAGATTTTTCCAAAGAAAAGTTCAGCTTCTGACTTTTTTTGGTGTTTTTAAATGAATTGGCATACATTTGATTACCATACATCCCAACTTTTATAGTCTACTACAAACAGCTAAGCCAAAATCATCGGATTCTCAGCAAAATTTGTCACATTTTTCCCACACTGTTTATATTTCTTAGGTTAAAAAAAAGGCAATAAATTATTTAATTAGAAAACATGCACTAATTTCTCCTGAAAGCAATTATTTAATTAGAAAATATGCCCTTTCTAATTCCTCCTGAAGGGAAGGCTTTAATAGAGCAAAGCAATCTCATCATGCAAAGCCAAGATTTGACTTGAATAACAGTTCTAAGACTTATCCAAAATTATAAAACTAAGAAAAGCCACAGTGAAGATACTTATGAACTACCCACCACCCCCAGTGTTTCCTGCAGTCCCAGGTGAGTGTGATGCTCACCTTCACAGACACATCAGCCATGAACACAAGAAAGCAAAGCAGCTCGATGCTCTCCGTTAGGCCACAGGGAGGGTTCCACCCAGGAACACGGTATCGTACATCTGAGGTGATGGTAAGTGAGGAAGGCTTCTCAATGAAAGCCAAAGCCAGGATTACAGTAATGGTTAAACTCAAAATCCTGTTTGGATAGAGATGAAATTAAACATTAAAGCACACATGCACACACAAAATAATAAACCACCCAGACAAAACAAACAAGAATAAAAACCCCAAACCCACAAAATGCATCAGAAGAATGACAAAATACTTACAGTAAAGCAATTTTCTTAGAAGCAAACCAAGCTATATAATATCTTTTTTAACACAAATTAGCTCAACCACAACACAGCACTTTCTTAGCATGCTAAAAAATGTAACTGCTGACCACCAAATAACCCTAGGTGGTGTTCTTTTGAACTTGCTTGCTACACTTAATTCTAATAAGGATAAAAGCACAATTATCTAATTATCTAACAAAAAAAAAGAAAGATTAAGATGATTTTTTAAAATTTGTTAATTTTTTTTTTTTTTTTAATAAAGACTTCCTCCTAGATGAAAAGGCAAAAAGGAAATCAAGTTCTTACCACTGACAAGTTCTGGAGTAGTACCATCGATAAAGCCACAGGGATCTGGAGTCCACACGGTGGTTTATAGATCGATACTGAAGGCAGAAAGCAAAAGGGATCATTCAACCATGACTTTCTGTCTGCCTCAAGGATAAAGATCAAGTTCCCAAAATAAACGAGGTTCTGACCAACAAAGCTCAAGTCTTGAGAAAATTCCAGATTCACAATAAGGTAAAGAAAACACTGTACAAGTTATTACTGAAGTGTCAGTCAGCAATGACCAGAGCTGTCTCCTACGTGTGTGCAGTGAGAAAGGTTTTAATGAAGTTTTCCTAACATAAAGACCACACCACTGCTCAGATAATGGAACTGTGGCAATCCTCTGAAGTAAAGATTACAAATAACAGCATCTGTAACAATTCAGGGCCTATTCCATCTGCTCACCAAAAGGGTCCACCCATGTCGTTTACCCTTCTAGCATTTATGCATAGATCTTCTTTTATCTTTCTCCTCCAAAAAGCCGTAAGATGCAAACAATTTCACTCTGAATATGTGACCTCAACCTACGTCTTGAAACAAAACATGCTTCCAGTTCAAGACTGTACCCATGATTGTTCAGAAGGGGCCTGAGTTTGCTGTCATCTATAATCTCAGCCACTGGGCTGCTGTCACTCTGTCTCCCCTGAGAAGCATCCACTTCCAGAAAGGTGGGCACACCTGAAATGTATCCAATCCCCAGAATATCTACCAACCAAAAGCTACCTGAAAGCAGCCAGAGTACTCACAAACTGCCTTCCAGCATTCCCACTAGTAACTGGGAGATAATGGGATCTAGGAATATGCAGTAATGGCCAGCAAATGAATAACAAAAAGAAAAATCAAAACTTCCTAAGGTGCTAAGTTCAGCTGAAGCAAGTGAGTTCCAGCTTCTCGGATGAAGCTTGACTTAAACTCTACCAGCTCTTAAACCACAAAAGTAGTCAGATTTAGAGGCAAATTATAGGGTTTACTCAGATAGTTTCTCTTAGCAGTAAGGCCAGTCACTCCAAACAAAAACAAAACACCCCAAGAAACCACCAAAACCACCCCACAAACCAGCATCTCTTTTGAGAGCCCTGAAGAGAAAACACTATCTGTTGGATTGTGTGGGAAAACATGTTTCTCCCAGGCCAAAGTTCACTGAAACTTGCTTATCACAGGAATCTGGAATTCTGATTTTGCCTTGCAAATCAATATGATGTTAAGGGGATGTTGCCTAAATGCATAAAAACCCAGCAGAACATGTGACAAATATCCAGCATGGGAAGCATTATAGTTAACAAAAAATGTAGCTTTACCTGTATTGCATCTTCAATGAATACTATGGCTTGGTTTATATAAAGGTCATTATCAGCTCCAGCACCTATGAAGTTAAAAAGAAATACGAATCAAATGCTGTATTTTGGAAAAAGCCTATGGCTTGCTCCACAGCTATGGTTCCCATGATTAAGGGCACAGCACACCCACAAAAAGCCAGGAGACAGCTCCTGCCACGTTTGCTCCATCAGCAGCACTATGCATGAAATAAAATAAATAATAATAGCCTCAAATGCATCATGCATCTTTCTATATTTTGTGAAAAGCTGCTCTCTTGGTTTAGCTTAAGTACCTAGACTACAGTATTAGTTAAATAGCTATCACAAGACTGTGATCTCTATAAGGAGACAAGTCCAAATAACAGGCTTTTATGACCCCACCTCCTCATCAATCCTGCAACAAGAAAGTCACCCCTAAATGAGACAGTAAAAGTCCATTTCTATTTAATGGAGCTTCAATCAAACTATCCTTCAACAAACTGCAGTCAGATCTGACACTAGTATCCTAGGCACTTTTACTGTTGTTTAATACACACACTGAGGTTTAGATTGACCTTGTTCTCTCCAAAACCAACAGAAATCTCCAGTCAGATGATGAGCAAAATTAAGTCCTTTTTAAAGTTGTCCTGAGAGTTATTAACATATAAAGCAGACCAGAGTTCAAGACATACAAAGGAGTGAAAGTACACAAAGTAAAACAGAGTGTTGCAAAATTAGTTACTCTGTAACATTTCTAAAGTCCATATCAAAACATAAATATTGACACTTTCAACCACTTGAATTAGGACCTTCGAGTAACCGACCTGCCAAGTCAGGCAATGAGGGAGACAAAGGCAGCAAAGACCAAAATGCTGAAGAAAATAACAAGAGAGGAAGGGGAAAAGAGAGCAGCTGATGGGCAGAGATATGAAAAATACACGCTATTGTAACTTTCCCCAGAGGGGGAACAGCCCGAGGAGAACCCCACACCATCTCCACCCAGGAGACAGCATTCCCAGCACAGGGTAGGATTCCCAGAGTCATTCCCAGCGCTGGCACAAGGTTCTCCAGACAAAAAGCAAAGCCAGAAACACCACGGACCCTGCTGATGTTACGGTGCCACATGATTCAGCTGCACCACTTTCTTACAAAGACTGTAAACAGTTTTTAAATGTCACCGTTTATCTGAACATGATCAACAACAGGGGTTTGGTACCGATTCCCACCAGAGATACCGTGCAAGAAAACCTGAGCACAAACAAGAGGCTGATGCAAGATCTTAATTTCGTTGAAGACACGAACACGCCAGCGAGATAAAAATGAAGTTGTTTAACTGAACAGCATTAGTTACAAGGATAGCAAGGACAGCAAAAGCATCTTGGACCACACAGCACAAGCCTAGAGTTGACCCCACTACTTTTGAAGGGCAGAATCTGTGCAGCTGCTCCTAAAACAAGGAAATGCTGAGGTTGCTTTTTTTCTAAATAAAAATAATAATAAATAATAATAAAAAACCACCCCAAACTCTGCATTTTCCATGCACGCTACCAAGGATACCCACTGCATTCTGCAACTCCTGGTCCTGGCAAGTGACCCTTAGTCACAGGGGATGATTAAGGTCCTGCTGGGTTTGGCCGGGCAGGATTTTCTCTCCCAGACCCCACCGCACTTTTTTACACAGAACAAACAGGCAAAGAGCAAGAGAAACTTCACTTCTGCCGTGCGATACCCTGAGAAGGGAGAACTTCGAGGTCTCCAAAGCAGCTTTTCCGGGGGAAGGAACTGAGAAATCAGACCTCTAACGTGCACTGAGAGCACAAAAAAAACCCAAAACCCTTTGAAAAAAATAAAAATAAAACAAACAAACAAAAAAAAAAACCCCTAAAACTGAAGCCTGGGGCTGCAGCAGCGCAAGGTTGGCCCCTCGGGTGGGCGAGAGGGGCTCGGGGAGCTCCAGCAGCCCGGGCTGGACCCCCCCAGCCTCTCAGCAGGCCGGGGAGGGTTTATTTCCTCCTTTCCCGGGAGAGGGGCAAGCCCAGCGGGCAGGACGCGAACCCTCCGCCCGCCCCAGCCTCCCGCAGCTCCCG